CCTTGATGCTTCTCTACCATACCCATGCTCTTAAGTGCTCTCAAGTCAAGGGCCTCCATCCGACGCATCTCTTGCATGCTTGACACTCGGGGGAAGACAATCCATACCTCTAATCAATCGGGTGATATAATACCCCGCATACAACGCCTTGGGTTTCTTATTCTTTGCTTGTCCCCCGATGAAATTGGTTAGAAAGAACTCGATATGGATGGGGTAGCGCTCGACATACTCGTACGAGCATAGTAGGTCCCGCGAACCTACTACTCCTAGACTATCCTTCCAAGCATTAAGTGATTGGGCTAATGTACCTATGGAGATATCTCAATGCAGAGATTTCGGAGCAGTGCTCTTTGATTTGCTAGGGTCGTACTACGACTCATGGTTAATATGTCTCCAGTAATTTGCATAACCGACGTTCATTGGTAAAGCCGTTTTCAACTCGTAGTATTCTTGGCATGCTACAAACTCCCGAGAGTAAATACCCATATGGATGGAGAAGGTAGTGTAAATCATCCGTATCAACTTGCCATTCAATTTGAAATGGAGTACATCATCAATATCCATGCCCCGAAGCTTACCCCGTATTGTGAAGGTTGAAAGCACCTCTAATGTTAGATCTCGGTAAGCAATAGGTCGAATCCTAAAGAATCTATCCCAACCACTAGTAAAGATCAAGCCTCGGACTTCCCGTTCTAACCCTAGCATTTGTAAAGCCCCTCGCCTATACATCCGCAGCTCTAAAAGGGTTTTCCTTGTAACAACTCATATCGAACTTTCTCGCTCGAGATAATTTCGGTATCCGTCACCTAGGTGGTGGTTGGGGGGTTGCTGTTGAGGTGAAATCTGTCTCTGGGGTTGGCTAGATGAGCCCTCATCTCGTTGCCTCTTCCTCGGAGGAATCTTCTTCCTTTCGTCGAGGTCTCTCCGCAGTTCTTGTCATTCTCTTGTGTCTATCAAGCTTCAATAAGAAGGTTGTCCGAATCTATTTAATAGCATATGAAAACTAAATGACATCAAACAATTTCATAAGATAATGCACAACAGGAAGATTGTTAAGCATTAATTCCTAATATGGGCGATCTTCCTATTGACATTCAGAATTGGATCAACAGATAATTTTTGATAACAATGGCAGCTAGACAAACAATGCATCCAATCCAAATATAACAAATGGAAACTTAAAAAATCACATCCCCGGCACTCGTGCTAAGCATATTCTTCAATCACATCCCTCACACATAATTTATCGAACAGGTAATATACGATTGTGTTAAGCAATAATTCTACACTTATGTGCATTATTTACCACAACCCATGCAATGATATTTGCACACTAAATACTACCTAAAACTACCAGCCAACACATGCTTCAACAACACAACAATGAATCAAATACCAGATTGTTCAAAAACCGAACATCCAGAATAAAATAGACCCCAACACCAAAAATTAAAAATGGAATCACACATCTATGGCCTTAATTTCTCTCACACTCAGCAACACAACCAAACATGTGTAAAATCATCAAAACCCATTGTGATTCAATACTAAAAATAAAGATTTTAGAAACCAAACCTGATTCGGGTCTCGGAGATTAGAGTAGAGACCGAGTAATGGTGACCAAATATGTGCTTGTGATAACCAGAGGTAAATGTGTGGTGGTGGCGATGTGGTAGAGGCAGGTCATGGTTGGGGAAGTGATGGAGAAGGGTTTTGATGCAAGCACAAAAACCATGTGATTTTGAAAGAGAAGAGGGGTTTTGAAAATATAACCCATATACCTTAAAAGGCGATTACACGGGCTAATACACTGTCGCGTCTTAGGCCGTGTCTTTCTAGAGTAACCTAAATCATGACAGAAGGTTACATGAGATTAGACATGGCCGTGTCATTGGATTGAAACCCCAAAGTAGATCGATTGTTCCACGAGTAGAGACACACCCGTGTCTCATCCCGTTTAACGTTTTGTCTCTCTCTATTTTTTTTTTGTATATCAAAGAAATGAAGTAACACAATATTGAAAAATAAACTTAGGTTACCTCCCAAGAAGTGCTTGTTTAACGTCATTAGCTTGATGTTCTTTAAGTTCATGGTTCGATGGGTTGGAGATTAAACTCCTCTCTACCAAGGTTGTCAATATCCCCTTTGAGATATAACTTCAACCAATGACCATTTACCTTAAATATACCTTTATCCGGATGTATGATTTCTATGGTGCCATAGGGAAAGACTTGTCTTACCGTGAACGGTCCCAACCAACGAGATTTAAGCTTACTGGGGAATAATCGAAGATGGGAGTTGTACAAGAGTACTTGATCTCCCTCCTTGAATAGTTTAGCTTGCTTAATGTTGCAATCATGATACTCGCTTAGCCTTTTCTTTGTACAGACTTCGCATTCTCATAGATCGCCAAACGCCATTCTTCAAGCTCATTGATTTGTAGTTTCTTGTTTTCTCCTACAAGATCAAGGTTAAAATTGATAGACTTGATTGCCCAATATGCTTTATGTTCAATTTCGATCGGGAAGTGGCATGCTTTACCATACACTAACCTATAAGGTGTGGTGCCTATAGGTGTTTTTTATACTATTCTATAAGCCCATAGAGCATCATCTAGCTTTTCCGACCAATCCTTTCTATTGTGCTCTATGGTCTTTTTTAGAATCCTTTGTAGTTCCCTATTAGCTACTTTGACTTGGCCACTTATTTGTGGATGGTAAGAGGTAGCTACTCTATGTGTAACACCATACTTCATAAGCACCCTAGAAAATTGAGTGTTACAAAAGTACGTGCCCCTATCACTTATAATTGCTTTGAGTGAACCAAATCATGAAAACAACTTTTTCAAAAACTTTACCACCACCCTAACATCATTAGTGTGTAAAGCTCGATCTTCAACCCATTTAGACACATAATCAATTGCCACAAGAATGTATTTTTGACCATTCGAAATGGGAAAAGGACCCATGAAGTCAATGCCCCAAATATAAAAAATTTCACAAACTAGTATATAGTTTTGGGGCATTTCACCACGTCGAGAGATGTTACCCGATCATTGACAATTATCACATGATTTCACATACCGTTGGGCAACCCGAAATAATGTAGACCAATAAAAACCTAACTCGAGCACTTGTCGAGCCATCCTGTTTGCATGGTAGTGTCCACCGGTGGGTCTCGAATGGCAATGATCTAGGATTTTCCATCCTTCTAAGTAGGATACACATCTCCTAATAATCTGGTCTCGCAGAGATCTTAAACAAATATGGATCCTCCTAAAGGTAGTTCTTCAATTCGAAAAGAATTTCTTCTTTTGTCGATGAGTGAGTCCCTTAGGAAGGATCTTAGCGACTAAATAATTAGTGATATCGAGCAAACCACGGGGTTTTAAGCTCACTTACCTATTTAATGTTGTAGAGGCGTTCTTCCGGGAATGCATCATTGATCTCCTTTTCATCAAGTTTCTCTAAATGAGGGTTCTCTAATCGAGACAGATGGTCCGTGGCTAAGTTCTCGACTCCTTTTTTATCTTTGATTTCTAAATCAAATTCTTGCAATAGCAAGATCCACCTAATCAACTCGGGTTTAGCATCCGCTTTATTCAACAGATATCTCAATGCAAAATGGTCAGTGTAAACAACAATCTTGGATAGGACTAAGTAAGATCTAAATTTATCAAACACAAAAACTACAACTAGCAATTCTTTTTTGTAGTAGTATAATTCTCCTGGGCATTAATCAAAGTCTTGCTAGTATATTAAATGGGTTGAAAATGTTTATCTCTCACGTCGTCCAAGAACCGCACCAATTGCAAAATCACTAGCATCACACATTATTTCAAAGGGAAGATTCCAATACGGGGTAACCATTATTGGGGCATTAATCAATTTTTCTTTCATAGTGTTAAAAGCATTCAAACACTCCTCTTCGAAAACAAAAACCGCATCTTTCTCAAGCAACTTGGTTAAAGGCCTAGAAATTTTAGAAAAGTCTTTTATGAATCTTCTATAAAAGCCTCGCATGACCCAAAAAACTTCTAATAGCCTTAATCGAAGTTGGGGAGGTAATTTTTCAATAGTTTCAATTTTTTCTCTATCTACCTCAATCCCCCTATAAGAGATTTTATGGCTTAAGACTATACCCTCTTGTACCATAAAATGACATTTTTCCTAATTTAAAACCGCATTAGTTTCTTCACACCGTTCAAGCACTCTTTTCAAATTATGGAGACATAAATCAAAAGAATCACCAAAAATAGAAAAATCATCCATAAATACCTCCATTATGTTCTCCACCGGATCATTAAAAATGGCCATCATGCACCTCCGAAACGTAGCAGGTGCATTGCACAACCCGAATGGCATCCTTCTATAGGCGAACGTGCCATAGTGGACATGTGAATGTAGTCTTTTCTTGGTCTTTCGTGGTTATAGAAATCGAAAGTAGCTCGAAAGACCATCTAAGAAACAAGTAATACATGTGTCCCGCTAGTAGTTCCAAGCATCCGATGAATAAATGGGAGAGGAAAATGGTCCTTCCGAGTGGCATCATTCAGCTTTCTATAGTCGATGCACACTCTCCATCCGATGATCGTTCTTATTGGAATCAGCTCATTTTTTTCATTTGGGACCACTTTCATCCCTCCTTTCTTTGGAACAACCTACACAGGGCTCACCCAAGAACTATCGAAATAAGGTAAATCACTCCCGCATCAAGAAGTTTAATTACCTCAATTTTCATAACTTCCTTCATATTTGGATTAAGCCTACTTTGAGGTTGCACCACCGGCTTAAAATCATCCTCCATCAAGATTTTATGAGTGTAAAAGGAGGGGCTAATTCCTCTAATGTCCGAAATTTTCCAAGTGATAGCCCTCTTATGCTCTCTAAGAACATCTAACAGCTTTTTCTTTTGATCCACCTTTAGCTTGGAAGAAATTATTATTGATAACTTTGAATCTTTTTCAAGAAACGCATACTCTAAGTGTTTCGGTAAAGTTTTCAATTCCAAACTAGGCGGATCCTCAATAGAGGGTTTAATCTCTTTTCCTTACTTTTGTCAATCTCCTCAAACTCCTTCTTTCGAATCATGAACTCGGTAGCTTCCGGACAAGCTACTTGCTCAACTCTAATGGGGTTATCCCCATCATTCTCCTCACCTTGAATGATACACAGCTCCAATGGATCATCATATATAATTTCCTGCACAGATTCTAAAACTCGTAGTATCAATAGCATCAATGAAATAACATTTTTCATCATGTTCAAGGGAATGCCTCCTAGATTTTGATATAAGAAACGTTACCTCTTCATCCCCGACCCTAAGAACAAGCTTACCATCACTAACATCAATAATGGCTCTAACAAGTAGCTAAAAATGGTTATCCTAGGATTAATCGGTACTTCTACATCCTCATCCATATCAAGCATCACAAAGTCAACTCGAGAAAATAAATTTATCTACCTTAACCAACACATCTTCAATTTTACCTCTAGGGTATTTAACGGATCTATCTCGCTAACCGTAAGCTCATTCTTGTCGATTTAGGTTCTCCCAACCCCAGCTTTTTAAACATTTTATAAGGCATTAAATTTATACTGGCCCTAAGGTCGACTAATGCCTTTTCAACTAACAAACTACCAAATGAGTAAGGAATAGTAAAACTTCCCGGGTCTTGTAATTTTTAAGGTAGCTTGTTTTACAGGATAGTAGAGAACTCCTTGTTCAATGCCACTATTGACGACTTCTTCCAACTTCCTCTTGTTTGAAAGAAGTTCTTTAAAAAATCTAGCATACTTTGGCATCTCGTGAAAGAGCTTCAACAAAAGGTATATTTATATACAGCTTGTTTAAAAAGTTCAAGAAATTTACCAAACTATTCATCCATGTGGTCTTTTTGTAGCTTTGTAGGATATGGAATGGTAGGTTTGAAGTCTCTCACTCGGTTGAGGTTGCTCGCTAACTTTTTCGACTCTTTACTCTTTTCGACTATTTTCTCTTCTTCACCTTTCTTCTCCTGCCATTCATAATTCCTTTCCACTTCTAAGAGAGATCGCCTTCACATGTTCTCTGGGATTAGTCTCGGTATTAACAGTGCGTACTACCTTGTTGCCTCTCGGAAAAGCACTTGGTAAGTTGCCCAATTTGCTTCTCAAAGTTGTGGATAAAAAGCCTCTTGGTTTCTTAATGCTCGTTTCAATTACCTAAAACCGAGAATCGGATGTTTGAATGAACTTAGTCATAAGTTCTTCCAAACTAGGCTTCTTCTCCGAGATGAGTTCTCGCTGTTGAAATCCGTGTCGATGATTCTATCTTTGTTGTCCTTGACCTCCCCAAGAGAAATTAGGGTGATTTCTCCAACTCGGATTGTAAACATTGTTGTATGGGTTATTTTGAGTATGAGGAGCATTACCCATGTAATTAACTACCCCCTTGCAATCCTTACACGATTATCCTTTTCTACATAACTCATACCGCATAACTCGAACCGGTTGTTGTACTATTGATATACCATCCATCTTCTTACTCGAGCCTCCACCCGAGCTATTAGAGCCGTGATCGAATCTACATCATAAACACTTGCTAGTTTATTTGTTTTGGTTCTAGTTGTGCTCCACTGGTAGTTATTCATAGCCATTTGCTCTATCAATTCCCGAGCCGCATCGGGTGTTTTGTTATTCGAGTGCCTCCACTGCCGCATCTATCATCCGCCTAGTAGCTAGATTCGGACCACTCGTATAATGTCTAAACTTGCGTCCATGTAGGTATGCCATGGTGTGGGCATCTCCTCAAAAATCCTTAAACCGCTCCCACGTGTCATAAAGCATCGCCGACTTAATCTGTGCAAATGAGGAGATATCATTCCTAAGCTTTGCAGTCTTTGCAGGTGGGAAGTATTTTGCTAAGAACTTCTTTTCCATTTAGCTTTAGGTAGTAATAGATCCCCTAGGTAGAGATTTCAACCACTCGTTTAGCTCTACTCCTTAATGAGAATAGGAATAGTCTCAATCTAATGGCATCATTTGTAGCCCCATTGATCTTGAATGTGTCAAAATTTCCAAGAAGTTGGCCAAGTGAGCATTCGAGTCTTCTTCTTACAACCCGTCAAACTATAGAAATTATTGCACCATTTGGATGATGTTCGGTTTGATCTCAAAGTTGTTAGTCGTTACGAGTTGGTTTGACAATGCTAGACTCTGTTCTCGTAAAATTTGGTCTAGCATAATCAAACATGGTTCTTTCTTCCTCGACCATGACTATCCGCGGTTCTCCTTCCCTCGATGTTCTTCTTCTCTTTCCCTATCCAACTCTTCTTCTCTTTTTCTAAATCGATTCCTAAGGTTTTGAAGAGTTATTCTTTCTATTTCAGGATTTGGCTCAACTAATTTAGTCGGGTTGTTATGAGTCATACACTAACTCGGCTCTTGAAAAAGCGACACGAATAAAGAAAAGCGTAATTCAACGAAAATATAATAAAGAAAAATGAAACTAAATATTATATAAAAATAAATAAATAAACAAATAAAATAAAATTGCCAGATTAATAAAAATAAAGTTTTCCTAATATCCTAGTCCCCGCAACGATGCCAAAAACTTGATAGCCCATTTCTTAACCTATAGACTTTAGGCAAGTGCACCTATCATTCTATAGTATAATTGACAGAGTATCGAGTGTCGATCCCACAGAGACTAAGGTTACTAGTAATTACCTTCTATTTATTATCTAACCGATGAATTATAGTGATAATGAATCAAATAAAAGCACCGATAATTAAAGCAAGATTACAAAATTGCAATAAGAGTGACGATAATAACTAGATGAGCAATCAATGGTGAAGGTAGTAACCGGATAGCGAATCCCCGTAGGTCTTTTATGTAATCACAATGTCTTTTATTCAACCATTCTTTATATTCATTCGACCGTAGGAATTCCCGAATTATGCAAAGTACTCTCTCAAGTTAACTAACACCTAATCTCGAGTTGATTAATTGAAATCTCTTTCTAATTAACACCCCCAAGATCGTATTAATCCGTTCGTGAATCCCTTTATTAGATTTGACTCTAATCCGGAGGATTTATGTCGTCCTATCTCCGGGATTGCATGCAGCTCCTTTTAGTCATGGTTGACCTAATCATATTTAGAATTTTTCGGTCTCATAGTATGAAATCGGATATGAATCAACATGCTAGCTTATGTTAACTCAAATTGATAATAAAAGTGACATAACTGAATAACAATAAAAATAATGATTGAATTGAATGAAGATATCAAATTACATAATCAATCTTAGGGTTCATTGTATCTAGGTACCAAAATAATTTAGTTCATGATTAAAGCAACGAATGCATAAATCTTAAACGACAAAACAATCCAGATTAAAGCAAAACATTGTAACCCTTATGATCTTGATGTAATCTTTTTCAAAATCTATGAAAATCCACTCCAACGGCGTTATCTTGCTAAAAAACCCTAGTTCGTTTCGTGCTTCTCAATCGCCCTCATATATCTCTACTCCTCCTTATTAGGTCGAGTTTCGATTAAATAGGAGTAAAAAAAATCACATTTCATAAGACACGGCCAAGTACACGACCGTGTCTTTGTCTCGTGTAGTCCAAATGTAATTTTTCTTTGGAGTATAAGGTTACACAACCTAGTACACGATCGTGTATTGGCCCGTGTAACTCTCTATTTTATGTATTAGCTCTTTTCTAGTTACACGACCGTGTCCCCGGCCGTGTAACTCATTTGTCATTCGAAACTCATAAAGTTTTGCTCCTTCTTGCTTTGTTTACATTCTTTTTTACCAAAATAATGTAGTACGACCTGCGTAACATAATTTACACAAGATAAGTGCCAAACTTGTACCATTTATCACCAAAGGTAATTGAAATATAGGAAATTTTGACACTAAAATTATGCATAATTTGGTACTTATCACTTGGAATGAAGAAAGACGTAGCAATTTTGTGGCCAAGTGTCAAATTTATCAATAGGTAAAGGCGAACACCAAAGACCTTAAGAACGTTAAAATCGTCGGTGATTCCCGAATGCAAATGGGAGCATATAACAATGGATTTCATCATGGGATTGCCAAGGTCGAAAAGATGGTTGGATGCCATCTAGGTGATCGTAGATAGGCTAACCAAAGTGGCACATTTTCTTCCAGTCAAAACCACCTAGAATCTAAATCGGTACGCCTAGTTGTACCTTGATGAAATTGTAAGATTACATAGGATTCCGATCTTAATTGTGTCAGATCGAGATCCTATATTCACTTTCGCATTTTGGAAGAGCTCGCACAAGGCCATGGGTACAAAGCTAAACTTCAGCATGGCTTATCATCCATAAATTGATGGACAATCCGAACGAGTGATCCAGATTCTTGAAGATATGCCGAGAGCATTTGTTTTGGATTGGTCTAAAAAATGGGAGAGATACGTATGCTTAGCTAGACTTACGTATAACAATAGCTACCAAGCTTCAATTAGGATGGCTCCTATGAAGCCTTGTATGGGTGGCGATGTAGATCTCCCGTGCATTGGGATGAGATAGGGAAAAGGAAGTCGTTGGGACTAGAGTCGAGTGCAGCAAATGGTCGAAGTGGTGGAAAAGATCCGCCAACGGATGAAAATGGCACAGAAGCAGATAAAAAAGCTACACCGATATAAGGAAGAAGTATCCGGAGTTTATAGTTGGTGATTATGTATTCTTAAAATTTTCACCGATGAAGGGCGTACTACGATTTAGGAAAAAGGGAAGTTAAGTCCGCGATACATTAGACCATTTGAAATACTAGATCGAGTAAGCGATAAGGCCTATCGCCTATTGCTACCATCATTGTTAGTGAGAGTACATAATATATTTCATGAGTCCATGCTAAGGAAGTGCATTGGAAAGCCTAGTCGGATTTTGGAGACGGAACCACAAAACCTAACCTCGGACTTAACCTATGAGGAAAGACCGATTTAGATTCTAGATAGATAGGTTAGACGGCTAAGGAATAAGGAGATTGCCTCAATTAAAGTCTTATGGGAGAATCATAATTTTGAGGAAGTCACATGGAAGCAAGAGGAAAAAATGAGGGATAAATACTTGAAACTCTTTAAATAAGCTAATTTCATGGATGAAATTTCTTTTAAGGGGAGAGAAATGTAACCCCCGTGAAAATCCTTAATTATATATATATATATTATGGAATGAAATTTTGGATAATTAAACCATGAGAAATTAATGTGTAAAATTTATGATTTGTGTTAAATTAAAGCAATTTTACTTGAGATTGATAGTTTAATTATTAGAGGAATCAAGTATGCAAAATCGGTGTTTTTGAGAATTAGACTCTGTCCAAATTTTGTGTGGCTTATTCAT